AGAGATATGCATTGATTCTGTGTTTCGTAAAGCTTGATTAAAAATCAGAGATTCACCATACTTGCGGCGATCCTACTTGGCCACTGGAGTCGTCCAGTTCACTGTTCCTTACAATATTATTACACCGCTGATTGGCTGACATGCGTTATAATCGCAGATAGATATACAATTTTCTCCGCATGGTATAACTGCAATAATCTAATCTATTTATCTTATGTAACAAACACTAGCTTTCCGTGACTGTGTCGGGAGAGGAAAGGAGTATAACAACACGCCGCGATATTAGTATTATTAACGAAATGGATTCACGCGAAATATATAATCTTATAATGCGATTTCCTCCCCTCTCCATCCTTCCAGCATAATGTGTACCGTCCCTCTCGTGCATGTACAAAAAATACACATCGCGTCTCGTTCAGTCCGTTACAAATGTACATACGAGAATAATAATAATAATAAAAATTAACCTAACCAGAATAATCATTGCGCGATAATAATAGTAATAATAATTGGAATAATAATACTTAGCATATCGTTATTATTACTATCATTATCATTATGTATATGCGTACATAAGTGTGTTCGTGTATGTATGTATATACGATTGAAATATACATTTCATCCTGATATATACATACGTAGTGTTCTTCCTTTCTCTCTCTCTCTCTCTCTATCTATGTACAAAGTAAACAATGAATATTACACCGCTCGTTAATTTTTTGGATCCCCATTCTCGCAACGCGTCCGAGTAATATCACGGAGATATATCGCAGAAATCCCAACAGATTTTATATAATCGACGTAAAAAGTCTTTTCTCTTCGCCACCCTGTTCGTCGCGGGGCGTGACGCGTGTAAAACATTTCGAAACTATCGCGTCGCGCGAATAGCACACGCGTACCCCCCATGCGAGATACGAGTCGTGGAGAGCAATATTGATATATGTATATATATATATGTATGTGAATATATATATATGTGTGTTTCTCCTCTTCCTTCTGTCAACTTTAGAATTAGCAGCATAATCCTTCATCTATCTCTTATAATTACGGCGTCTCTCGATAGTAAAGATAGTAAGTAATGATAATAACAGTAGCAGTACACACAACTACCGCTATCAACGAACATTAACGTAGCACAATTGTGGCGGTAATAAAAGTAAAAATAAGACATGATAGGTATCGCTTATATATAAATACGGTTTAAGAACCTAATTCTATCGTTCGCGTATGTAGCGCGTATGTATACGTTAATATATATATATCTATGTATATGTATAAAGATTCATCGCCAACGTACAAATTTTCAGTCGGTTTCGCGGCGCGGCACCGCGCCGAAATTTCTCTCTACTATTATACCCTTCTTGCCGCAAACAAAACGATCCTCCCGTGTTCATTCACGCTATCCTACATTTATGCGCGCGTGCACGCGCTGGCACGTCTCTCTGTCATATCACATGCACACCCTTCTTATTACGGTGTAAAGAGTCTCACATATACAATATAATATA